TTTTCCTTCATCCCAGAACTATCACTTCTTTGATAAAACCCCATTTTGGGGGTTAAGATCCAGTGGCCTTATGATCATTCATAAAGGAGACCCTGATTCAGACTGTCTGTCTCCACACCAGAAGCAGCAGGGAAAGCACTTATTCCCGCAAGAAACACGCAATGGGTGCATTTACATGAGACACTTAATGCCCATTGGACTAATTCTACTGCACATTAGTGTGGCTGGCAAAAACTGTGCTAATGTGCCAATGTGTAGTAGATTAATCCAATGGGCATTAAGCGTTACCTAAAAAGCATCCATCGACACTAATGCGCAGTAGCACCAATTATGGTGCATTAAGTTTAGTACCTGTTATTACAGGTACTAAACTTAATGCGCTGTAATTGCAGTGCATTAATGAACATGTAGACGCACCCAGTATCTCTCATTGCTCAGCCTCACCCCCTCCAGTTGATTTAAGATGGTTCTGTAGGCTCCAAACTACTTTAGCACGCCTCAGGGAGACTGGTTAGCTGCTAGGATGGTCTCTTGAAGGAAGAAAATATTTGGTGGTTTGGGAAGATCCTGGGGACTGCAGTCAGCTTCTAATAAAATACATTAAAATTAATTCACCTGTTATGGGTAATCCATAACCTATCTGTATTATGTGTGTAAATTGTACTCTCATCAGCGAACATTCCTTCAAAAATATTATTGATAGAGTTCCTTTAAATGGCCAGTGCTGAGAAAGATGTGTAAGGGGGCGAGGGTCAAGGGAGTAGCAAAAGACAATTTTGACAAATAGGAGCACATGGGACAAATACAACAGGCTTGGTTTCTGAGTGCCATCAATGTAAGTAAAGAATGGCTCCACTGAAGTTCATGGACTTTTGCTATTGTAAGAGTGATCAGAACTAGGCCAATACTGATTTGAGGAAGGGCAAACGGGGAAAATGTTGTCTTTTTACAGAAGTTTAGAACATGGGACTGGGAAATAATCCAGCACTCCACTGGGAGTGTTTTCACTGAAGAAGGAAAGGAGCTTTAAGATGAAATTCAAATGAGAAAAGTGAAAGACTGGGGGAAGAACCCCAAAGCAAAACTTTTCCCATCGTTTTTTATTCCTTTTTTTTTAAATCAAGTTCTGCAGAGTGTCACAAACAATACAACTGACAGATAATGACTTTTTCAGTTTCCCTTGTTAGCATAATGCTCCTCATGCTTTGCATTTATTGTGCATTATTCAAGGATTTTTAACTGAAATAGGGACTGATAATCTGCTTTTGTGCCTTTTTGTTAGGCAAATAAGGCAGACAGCAGTTGAGTTTAAACATTATTAAGAAAAAAAAAGACAACATTTCAGATTAGGTTATTTCTCTATCCTTACAAACTAAAGACTGTGATTCCTTCAGACCCCTCAGAATGGGTTGCCATGACTAAGCAAATAACATGAACAAACCAGCTTCTGCCAGATTATATCTCAACTGGTACACCTTTCAAACTTTAGAACCAAGCCCGTTGGATCCTGCACAGAGTCAGCAGTAAAGATCAATTCAACGGCCCACAAGAGCTGTTCATCTAATTCACAGTTTCAGGAACTTGTTTTTAAAGACCTTAAGTTATTTATGCAGGAAGGGAATAGTGTAGAGCCCCAAGCAACAGTACTAATAATCACTGCTGAAGGTCATTGGCCAGTTTATGAGTTGTGTGGCCGAATGTCTACAAAAGCTAAAAACCCTTGAGTAAACCACTATTGCTAGAGCAGCTATGCAGGTCTTCAAGGGGTTACTTAAGAAATCTGTCCTCCACAATACTTCAGAGGCACAGTCTTTCCATACCCTTTCTTGTATTATAATGGTAATCAAAAAGACAATGCAAACCATTCCTACTTCATTTTTGCATAATTGAGGCAGAGCCATTGGAGGAATTACAGCCATTATGCAAGATGAGACACCATCACAGCAGGGCCTGCTACCAATGCGTTTTGCCAAGTTGTTTTTATAGACTTCAGTTACCTGTCATTTAGTAATTGGCCATTTTTTTCCAGAGAGATCCATACACAGTTTCCTCATCTTCTTAAACCTTAATATTGTGAGATTGCACTAGAAATTGAACATTTTTAAAAGTACTCCACATAGATGGCATGCTTAAAAGTCAAACTAGAGCTGGAACACACTGTTTCACTTAACCATAGGCTGGATGGCTGTGCTCTTCTAGGAACTGATCATTTTATCAGCCTTGTCACTACAACGTAGAGACACGATACAGATGGCCCAACAGAGATCCTTTCCAACCCCAAACCATCCCGTGAGTCTGCAACAAGAAAAAATTGATGTGCTGAAGCTTTCACTGAAGACAACAATAAATTAACAGAGCTGAGAGGACGGAGATCAAAGGGAGCCATGTCTCAAGGAACGCAGCATGTCCTTCAGTGAAATATTAACTTCATCCTATTTCAGGGCCAAGGCAGAGGAAGTACAGGCTGGTCAGCAGGACACGCATGCCTGGAACTTCAGCCAAGTGCACATTAGTAAAAAAAAAAAATAATGCAGCAGAGAAAAGCATTTTTTAAAAACCTGTGTGTGTTTTGTTATCAAGGAAGTTGCTTAGCTAAATATTGTGAAACAGCAGATTGCAAATCGCAAACTTTACAAAAGACAAGGCTGTCTTTAACAGCAGGTTACTGCTTGCATGGGAGAGCAGTGCAGAGATGGGGGGGCAGAAGTGAAGATGCATATTTCTAACTGAACAACTTGGTAGAAAATGATGACTGTGCCTATAAATGTAATCTTTAGAGTGTTGGCACTGAGATATGTGAGAGCTGTGAACTGGTGTGAAAGCTAAAATACCTAAAGGGACTAATAAGTCCCGATGGGGACCCCAGCTTGCCAGATTCTTAAATGGCTGCAAAGGATAATTGCAGAGAACTACAGCAGAACTGAATCAATGCCATTTTCCTTGAAAATGTATTGTGCCTCTGATTATGTTGCTCTGAGGAAACTGGCTGCTTCCCCTCACCTCAAAAGTCATTTGTAAGCCACTAGGAATGTGTCCAGAAAGATCACAGTGCAGTTTAAAGCCAGAAGCATAGTTGATTATATATTTATCATTGCCCTGTCAGATAACATCTGAGAGGACAAGAAGAAAGGGATTCAGTCCTGGAGTGTTTATTAGCACATTTGGGATGTTTTAGGAAACTATCCAATTGGATCTTTTCTGGCAGGCCTATAAAAACTGTGTATATCCATGATGAATGAATCCACTTGCTCTTGATCCCCAGCCTCCCCCTCCTACCCCACTCTCCTCGCACATGCAAACTTGCTGCCTCAATTGCCTTTAAAAAGGAAATAGAGAAATAAATAGGGATGCACTATTGCCCTTAGCATTATACTGCCCAGGAATAGATGTTAATCAATTGTATGGAATGCTTAAAGTAATATGCAAGCACTTTCACACCAAACTGATAGCACAACAGAAATTTTACCCCAGCAAATACATGAAATAACTCCCTCAATCAAATTAAAGTCTTATATCCTAACTAAATTCTTTCCAGAATTACATTATTTCCAGGATGCTAGTAAAAGTGGTCCTACAAAAGATTGAACATACACACCAATTATCTCTCTCCATACAAGGGTGTATATGTGTACACATACACAATACACAGAGTACTCATATGTGTGTGTGTGAACTATCCTCACATATTTCTAAATTGGTATACTTCTTCCTAGTTTTGTTTAAAGAATTAAGCAAAGGGTTGACCTTACAGGCAGTCAGTAATTTGGCTAGAGGACCTTTCTTTACAATGGTGACAAAACTTTAAATCACAGATGTTGTAATCGGGTGGACAGTCTCTCATCTTCTCTTTTTGAATAAAAGTAGCAGATGTGCTGTCATGCTGGAAGTAATTTTGGTCATTAAAGTTCTTGATCCTTGAATGTCAGCAGGAGTTACTTAGGTGACCATCACTTGCACTTACAAAGTACTGCATTTACCTCTCCATAAAATATGGATTTTATTGCAGCAGTGACAACACTTCTTTCCACAGCTACTGACCTCTACTGTGATCGCTTATCTCCTGACTCAACTCTTTGCATAGAATAATAGATATACATATAAAATGGTAGATATTTAGTGTGTGTGGATAAAAATCATAATATATGTAGAGTGCTATATCTATTGAGTACACACATACATGCTCAATGAGAGTGCTATACCTATTATGTATATGTATATATAATCAAAATGCACAGTGCTATTTATATGTGTGTCTATACGAGTACAGAAATGTCACTGATAATGCACAAGAGTTAGTGTTGCCAATTCCTCCGAAACATTTACCACTAGCGATGCATTCAGGTCTTCTTTCTGTAATGATTCAACTTCTCTTCTGTAAAATGCCTCCCCACTTCCAGTCCCTCCCCAACCTGCCATTAGCAAATAAAGGATTTCACGTTTGTCAGTTTTTGTACCCTCTCCAGCTCTACAACCCCCACTCCCCCCCAACTTTTCTTCTTTGAGGAAGCACCTACATCCAGTTTAGCTCCCCGTGCAGCTCTGAATATTATTCATTTCAATAGCACACCTAAGCCTCCTGGAACAAGCAGCAGGCTTGGTTTGATATTTTCCTGCACTTTATTAATAAGCTTCTGCTTTTTATTCCACTCTGCCCCCCTCCTACCCCCACACACTTTTTGCCTGAAATATTTTACTCATGGCATTAATTTTCAGGAGGATGCTGCATCCATGTGCCCTGCTTCACATGATAGCAAATGCACTCCCCGAAAACACAAGAATTGCTAGTACGCAGTGGCGTATCCATGTACAAACAGTTCAAAACAGGGCAGATAGATCCCTGCATCTACTAGTAAGTGAGCTGCCAACTTTGCCAAATAAGTAGCTTTAAAAAAAAAAAAGGGAAAAGAAAAAGCATTTACAAGAAACAAAACACCAGCATCTGCTTGCTGCCTGCTACAGTTCAACTTGCTCTAAACAAGTCCAAAGTCTGATCTCCTTACCGGTAAGAAGAGAAGAAAGAGGACAAGTGCTCAGTTCTCATTCAGTAATACAGTGGTCAGTGTGGTAGCAGGGCTGCTTCTCTGCCTGCTTTTCTCCACTCTTGCCTCTCACCTCCACTGCTGAATCTACTGACATCTAAGTGGGGCTCCCTCTCTCCCAGCATCACTTTTAACTCTAGCATGCAGGGAGCTGAAGCCGAGGGGGCTCTCTATCTGATTGGTTTCCATTCAGTGCTCCTGATTAATAAAAAAAAAAAAAGAAAGAAAGAAAGAAAATCCTCCCTCCCTCACATTGCACACACTCAACACACATACACACAGACTGTGCTGCTGCTGCTGCTGCTTCTGGAGCTGCAGCACTCAGTATGGGAAGGTTAAGGGCTGGGGAAAGCTGGCTCTTCCAGGCATACAGTGATTTGCAAGTGAATGCAGTGGGAGGGTACAGGGAGGAGGGCTTTGTTAAAGACCCCCCCTGTGATAGAATGACTCTGTGTTTGATGTCTAAAGCAATCAGCTCAGTCTAATCTGCTGGTAGTGATAGTAAAAGCACAAAAAAAAAATACAAAGGAGGTTAAAACGCACTCATAACTTGTAACTGTGTGTGCCTGTGTTGTGTGGGTTCTTCTATATCTTCAAAATAATTTTTTATCCTTTATCCTTCACTGTTCTAAAAAAAATGACTGAATATTATTTTTCAGCTCCCCCAACTTAATATATGCATTAGGAATGATCAGTGAAATACTGACTTGCATGAGGAAAAAGTAGATGTTGTAATGTGGATGCTGGTGTGTGTAAGTATATGTTAGATCTAGCTGTAAGCATGCAACATATATGTGATATGAGCTTGCAGTGAGAGTTGTATTGAGAGCTCACAGAATTATATTGATTGCTCAGAGTATTATATTGAGAGTTGTTTTGAGAGCTCAAGGAATCATAGACTGAGCTCTTGGGGACTGAAGGCAGGTTGGCTTTTGTGTTTGGACAGCACCAAACACAAAATGACCCCATAAGAAGGCTATCAGTGACTTCATATGAATATAAAATAATGAGCTGTAAGCTACCTGCCAGTTATATTGTGCCAGCAGAAAGCTTAGTCCACTATATAGTGCATCGGTTTTTTATGCAGTGTTGTCACAAACTTTGCATTGTTTCTCTATAAAATTTGCAAGGACTGCATCTTCTACTGCTTGCCTCTGGAGATTAATCAACAGCCTAATGGGTGGCCACTGTGAATTTCTTCTTGATACTCAGCCTCTTTTTTTTTTCAGTTTCACCAGTTATTCTTCATTCTCTCACCCTTCCCCCATACTGTCTCTACCATGCCTTAGGTAAGACTATGTTCTATACCAGTGGTTCTCAACTTTTTTTATACCAGGACACATTTGTAAACATAGATGGCCAGTCCTGACCCAGTGTCCCTCGCTCCTGACCCACTACCCCAGGCCTTAGCCCCCAGCCCCCCAGTTTGTGGGACAGAGGGGTGGATGTGTGGGGTGGGGCGGGGGAGAGACATGGGGGCCCTAAGCAGTCCCTTGCAGGCTGGAACTCTGCCAGCCTGCAAGGGAAAAGCCATGGTTTCCCATTTTTTTCTCCTTTAAAAGAGAATCCATTTTTAAAGTTTGCTCACAACCCTTTCATACATTCTTGCAATCCACTTTTGGGTCATGACCCATGGATTGAGAAGCGCTGTTCTATGCTTCTTGGAAATGGCCTTCACAGCCATAGACTGGCTCTAAGCTAGCTGTGTTTCCTCCTGACCCTGTGCTATTCCGAGACCCTCACCATTAAACTCTGCTGGTCATCTAAGTCTAACCAGGGGTGTTGCCCTGTGAGCCTCAGTGGTTTCCAGAATTGTTCAGTTGTATTCCGGCCAAGGTTCTTTGAGTAGAGGTGATATCTTTTATTAGACCAACTAAATAGTTGGAAAAAAGTTATTTGCAAGCTCTTGGGCACAAACACCTTTCTTCAGGTACTGAGAGACTCTGCTGTTGTTCAGTTGTATTCCTGCACTCATTACACTGCCAAGGAAGGCAAGGGGCCCTTGCCTTGGGCCCTTGAAGGTCATTCAGGTCTGAAGGTCACTACTGGTGTCATTCAAACACTTTCCCTGGCGTTAGTCTTCCTATATGATGGGAAATGGGGCAAGAGTACCTTAAAGAAGCTGAAGTAAGAGTTGAGGGTCTCACACGAGAACATGGGTGACTGGTGCCTCCTGAGTCTGGGGGCACACCACAACGCCAACGGGGTGGGGGGTTCACTTCTGATGGCACTTCCAGTTTTTCAGCTGGCGCTTCCAGGGAGTGCACGGCCGATCTCAGGGAGTGTACGTGCACCCGCGTGCACCCCCATGCGTCGCCAATGCACAAGAGCCTACCTTCCAAATATCTCGTAAATTTAATTTATTCAAATTTGCAAAAAGCAGGAGCCATTACCAGTAAGCCAAGCTTTGTGCCTTGTTGGTTATTTTAATCTTTCCTTGGAGGGTCATTCCTTTCAGCAGCTGGATTGTTTTCCTCCAACCTACCAATATTTTTTTGTTAATGAATAAAATATTTGTCCTTCTTCCATGCCTGTACCTGGAGCCTTCTAGAAAGGCACTATTCCACCTCTGCTTCATGGCAAAAAGCACATATATGCAGGCTCTCCATGGCTGCCATGTACGACTGTCAGTGTCTGATTTGCTGTCCACATACACCCTGAGGTTTCTTTTGGAACCATTCCTTCCTTCCCAGTTTTGTCTTGCCCTGATAAGCTTTAATCGTGTTGTTATTCCTGATTTCAGATCAGTGCTTGTCTTTCCAAGATGGATGTCTGCATTCTGAGGAAAAGTGAGTGCTACTTCCCCAGTGGCCACAAGCGTGTGCTCAGTAGCCTCTGCTTGGAGATTTGGGTTTTTGCATGGAATAGTAATTAAAAACTGTGTATCCATGTCTATGTGAAGAGGGCTTTTTAAGGGACATTGTCAAGGTCATATTTTTCCCTCTCAACATCCTTCTCTTGACAGCCGTAATGATATTAGAATTCCCATCCCAGATCGGGTCATTAGTCCATGAAGTGTCCTGAATTTGACACTTGAGCTGACTGAAATGATCTGCTAGACTTGTAAAAATTACTCAAAATCAGCATTGGCTGAAGTTGACAGCATTGTCATTGAGGCCAAAAATTTAACAAGATTCAAAGCAGAATTGGATGTTTATATGGCTAACAAGACTGGCCAAAAGTTGTTACACTAAATACTAAAAAAAGATGTTTGAAAGACAGCTAAAAATGCAGTCTTCAGGTCTAAAATCAATCTCTACCATATGGGGATTAAGATGAGACTGTCACAAAGGGCAGCGTACCCTCTATCTACTTATTGTGGGGATCTTTCTTCTTCTCCTGAAGCACCCAGAGTAGTCTGCTATCAAAGATGTGGCACTAAATTATCTTAACTGATCCATTATGGTAGTTTTATGTTCTCATGGCTTAATTTTGAATTGTTTGTGAATCTCAAGCACTATCACTAATTGCGACAGTCATGTGATCTTTTTCTTTGCTCTGGTACTGTCCTGCCCGATTTGCCTGGAGATACCCAAAGAAATGTGTTGTCCCAGTCTCATAGCTATCTAGAATATTAAGGTGAAGTGAAATGCCTATTTGCAATGAAGGAATGGATTAATGGAAGGGGAGGGGGCAGCTGTGGTTCACCAGAAATAAAAAATCCTTCAAACCAGTGGGGGTCAACCTTTTTGGTAGGCATGCCACAAATTAGCCCCAAAGCCTCCCTGAGTGTCACTGTGATCCCTTTGCCCTGCCTGATCTGCTGCTCTGCTTTCTATTCCCTACCGTTTCTGCTCCCTACCCTTTCTGCCCCTGTGCCACGTGTCCTCTTCTGCCATGTACCACACACAGGCTGCTTGTGCCATTTGTGATACTCATGCAGTAGGCTGGCCACACCTATTCTAAACCAACGTGTAGATTGCTTTCAAATTCTTATAGCACCAGGATAGAGTTATAATAGACCAGCTTGATAAACAGTTTAATATTCAAGACACTCACGACCCTACAACTGTGTCTTGCATTTGTAGGGGAGTGGTTTTGATCCAAGGGCCTTTGCACCACTGATTTCTCCTTTCCTTCAGAAGAAGACAGAAATCTTCCAAAAAGCACAGGTTCAATTTCCTTTCAATGCTATGTAGGAGGGAAAAGAGATTTCCACTGAACCCTGCAAGCAATCAGCCAATGTCATGAATTATGAGGCTGAAATAAAGTTATCTGTGCTGCAGAGCCATTGATATTATTGATGGTCACAAAGTTATCCAGATTTTTAAAAATCCAGACACGTTATTTGACTCTTTGGCTCTCTGTGGTGATGTGTTCTACAAATGGACAATTCCCTGCGTAAATATTTCCTTTTTGTTTGCTTTACATTCACTGCCTTTTAATTTCAAAGCGTTCTTGTACTAGGGATCTGGGAGGGGGAAGGGGAAGAAGAACCTTTACAAGTTTCTCAATATTTTTGTTTTTTCTGAGACACGACTTTCTCTTTCCTAAACTAAGCAATCCCTAGGGTTTTTTTTTAATATTTGAATTCAATCTTGTTAACTAGTGGTACACAATCTTTTGGCCCTGCTGGAAAATTGAGTGGCCCAGGGCCCTGAGACCCAGCGTTGCCCCCGACCAGCCATGTGTGCTAGGATGGCATGTTGAATCCAGTGTGCAGGACCCGGGGCTTCTCATGGGCCTGGAGATCTTGCAGCAGGGGAGCAGTGCCATCGTTCCCCTTCTACCAAATTGTTTTGCCTATGGAGAGTCACTTGGGCTGGATGACATGGCACTGAGGGCTAGATCTGGCCTGAGGGCCAGAGGTTGAACATCCCTGTTGTAAACAATTATATATGGATATATATATACTCTCACATGAAGCTCCATTGCACCATTTATGGGAATAACAAGTTGCAAGATGGACCTCAATATTTATACATGCACTTTCTCTGGGTATTTCTCTCTTTGTCTGGGCTTCCTTGAACTGAGGTAACTAAAGCTGAACACAGACATTTGATTCCACTAAATTATAATACCTACTTCTATTTTGATATCTTTGGCACTGTTGTCCTTTTAGAAGCAAACCAACAAGCAAAAATATTCAAAGGAACAGAAATCAATTACAGCTTACTTGGCATCCTACAACAGAACCAAAATTTCTAGTGCTGACGATGTCATTCCCACTGTATGGGTTGTAGATCAATAGATTGATCTGTCTGTTAGGGCTGGTTTAAAAATGGAGATTTGGTAGAACTAGAACATTTCATGATAACATAGACTAGATTCCATGGAAATGTAATGAAACCTGCCTAGTTTCTTTGTAGCACTCAACCTCCTTAACAGCTTGTGTTGTGGAGTGCCT